TACGCAAACACGGGGAGAACCGAGCCTCCAGGAAGAGCGCCAGGCTTTGACGAACCGTGTAATTACAGCAACGACGTCCATCAAGTGATCCAAAAAGACTTTCTGCCCATCAAGCTTACATTGTGAAGCTTAAAAAAAGTATACAAATACTGTAAGAATAAAATAATAAGGTGTAAAAGGAGGACTTGGGTCTGTGGATGTGGAACCCAGAGGAAACAGCTGGTGTCGAAGTGTCTGTGGTGACAAATCTTCCATCAACCTGATCTTAACCTCAGCAGACAGGTGGAGTTTACCAAACGTCACGGTGCTTAACCAGGTGAGTGAAGTGATTTGGCCAGATGATGCAGTGACAGGGCGGTGACCTTTGGCTCCTCAGGAAGTGACCCAACATTCTGAACGCGGCGTCCGAAGGAGTCGTAACCTCCTGCAGGAAAAAGCGCCGATGTGGTCTGAAGGAGGCGACTGATGTGTTCTCAAGGACGCAGCACAGAGAGACAGGTGTGTGTGTTGTGTGTCTGTGTGTGTCTGTGTTGTGTGTGTATCTGTGGTGTGTGTGTGTTCTGTGTGTGTGGTGTGTGTGTGTGTGTGCTAGTGTGTGTGTGTGTGTGTGTACAAACTAAATTTAAAATGTTTAGATTTAAGATTTATATTAACTACTATTAACAAGACACCAGGAGTTGTGAGTGTGTGGACAGTGAAAGAAAGACTAATAATGTAATATATATATATGTATATATATATATATATATATATAATGTGAGTTTATTTAGAGAATTAATTATAATTTTTTTGGTCTAAAAACAGCTATAGAGCACTCTAACCTATCATAAAAAAATTATATATATGTATGTATTCTACCACTTAACATGGAATAATAGCAAATAGAAATACCTTAGCATAGCCCACCTATATTACACTATTAAAAATACACATAAATACTGTATAAATAATACTAGAACAACATAAACATTAATTGAGTCTTACAGTTACCGACCACCAACATCTCTGACTTTTCTGTTTCACTTATTGTCAGCGGTTCCCTGGTTGGAAAAATAAACAATCAGAGTTCTGTAGGTGGGATTAAGAGCGGAGACGTCATCCTGTTGTCCGTCCCAAAATAAAAATGACAAGCAAGTGCGAACTTTACGCCGAGTCCCTCGTGTCCCAAACAGACTTTGTTCAGTACAGACAGTCTGCCGATTATACAACCAGGCCACAGTCGTCTTGAGAGGAATGGACGCACTGATACAGAATGCAATATTGCAGGAAATCACTCTTTAAGTTGGACTTTTTTTTTGACACACCGACAGCATCTGGTTCTCCTCCACTGTCCCAGTAGCTGGACTGAGAAACCCGACACTAACCAGTCAGAGGGGGGAGGTCAGGCTGAGGTCAAAGCCACAGTCCAAATATCAGGAGCAGGCGATGAGTTCGAAGTGTCGCAGGAAAAAGAGTCTTAAAAAAATCCAAACACTGAGATCTGACTGAAGGTCTGTGGAGGGATTCTTAGACGTTGTCCTGACTTCTGAAGGTAGAGTGAGAATTTGTGCATAAATAAACGTTTACTGACCATTTTTATGGCTGTTTCTGAGATACAGCAGCCATTTTAAAGAGATAAATCACAGAAATCAGTAAAACAATGTCAAAAAAAACATTTTAAATACTTTATAAATGAGTTAAAATAAATGTATTTTGATTAAGAGGCTTTAATTTTTTTTCGTCATAGTGGCGGTAACTACTATTTTTCCATCATCAACTAAACAATGTATACATTTTAAATACTTAATAAATGAGGACAAATAAGGACATTTAATATTTTCTTGTGACCCAAATAAAATCTCCTTAGACCCAGAATATGTCATAAAGTAAGTTTACTGGTGTGTCTGATTGTCATTTTAATATTCACGTTGATCTCACTCGGATGAAACCTTAGTCCTGATCAACGACGGACTGCTGAACTTCAACTTAGCAATAAAAAATCTTTAGTCTCCTCTTCACAGATCGATTACCCACAACCCCCCTCTGTTCCTGGGACTTCCTGGTCAGAAAGTCATTTGTCAGCATTAGGGTGGATCATGTCGGGAGCCACCGTAGGTACCAAGGTTAGGACACAGCAGTTGAGTAAACACCAGTCGGGGTATCGCTTTCAGTCCGGCTGCTGGGCCTCACCTCGGGGTAAACAGAGGCGGCATCCACGCTCACCGCTCAGGTATCAAACCGACCCGCGATTTACGCTAAAATACTGTCTCATCTCTGTCAGACTGACTGAGAAACACGCGAGGAGGAGGAGGAGGAGGAAGCTCAGCGAGCAGACAGATAATGACGGGGTGTTTATGTCTCGCGCTATCTGGTGTCCTGTCTGAGTGGAGGCTTTCACTGCAGGTCAGATTGTGACCTGCTGGACCCGGACCCCCTGAACGCCAACAAAGGCTGCTTAAATCTGAAGATCTGTTGGTTTGATTAAAAATATGCCAATACGACTACTGTTTGGCACCAGTATCAGCACCTTATATTGAGGAATATAAACATGTTTTTCTATAAACCTGAACAACGTTGAACCATCTGACCCGACATTGAATGCTAACTTTCTGTCAGTTATCAATAATCAGTGCTAAAGACACATTTTAATTGATACCAACAAAGTACTGAAGTTTAATGCTTAGTGTGATTACACAGAATTGGAAGTCAGAATTGGAAGCTTCCTACTTCCTTTAGCAATCGGGTTGGGTGCCGAACTTTTAAGAGAAACGACCAAATTACATCGGTACTACGGAGTATTGATTCACATACCCTGAAGCCAGCGCCGAGGCTGAACCCTCCAGGTATGACGAAACTTTAAGTCAGAGTGAGTCTTAGTCGACTTTCAGGAGCTGATAACTGACACCATGTACAATTACAAGTACTTACATCTGGGAGCTTGCAGATACCAAGTACCACTATGAGTCCTTAATAATACCATTACTGTTCTAGCAATGACTCAACAAAACTTAATTGTACAAGATTACATTAGAACGCACCATAACGTCATAATTTGCCTTCACCAATACTCATTTTTACTGAATAGTGCTTGAACACATCATAATGAAACATTAATAAAACCAGTATACCCTCCATAACATTGCCTCTCTCCAGGCTGGAGGCGGTTTCTTTCCTGGTCAGTGAGTCAGTCGGGTCAGAAGCTTGTTTTTGTTTGCGTTTGTGAATTCCCAGCTGGCTCTGAAGTATCAACTCCGTAAAGCCAAACAGAGGAAACGGTCAGAAAGGTCGCGACCTTTCAGCCGTCCGGGGGTTCATGTCCAATCAGAAGGTCACAGATGCCGAGGAGATATTCAGTGTTTCTGAGTCCGTCGATAAACGAGTCTGTTAGTGAGTTAATCCGAACCTGTCAGGAGGGAAAACTGTCAGGGGAAAACCTCTTCGCTAACCCAGACCCAAACCCAAACCCAGACCCAGACCCAGACCCAGTCCCTCAGCCTGCAGGTTGCTCCAAACATACATTAATGTGGGATTTAACCTCAAACAAACATGGTGCCATTTTTAACAGTTTCTTAAATTAAATGTTATTTCAGTGTGAGTACTTTAATGTTTCATTCTGCACTAATAAATGTCCTTTGGGTTTTTTTTTAGACTACTTTGGACCTATTCGAAGACATCAGTTTGGGCTAATGATGATGGGTATTTATTATTATTCAACATTTTGATATATAAAGTACAAACAAACAGTCTGGAGCTGAAAAGCTAAATAATTAGATTATAAAAAACAAATATTAGCAACAGTTTACTTCCACTGCATTAACTGATTTAATCATTTATTGGTATGTATTAAATTAAATGTTAAATGCTCCTACATTTACTGCTTATCAATCTGTCCATCAGGAAACTCTGTGAATAACCTCGGTACTGTACTGTTATTCTCTGTCAGTCCGGGTTCTGTCGCCCGCTAACAGCAGATACAGTTAGCAGCAGTTAATTAGCAGTTAGCTGGTTTAGCTAAAGCTATCTGTCCATCAGGAAACTCTGTCAATCACAGAGAGTTGAAGCTGAGCAGCCGGAGGACGTCAGAGGGAAAACCAGGAAATATTTCCTCCATAAAATCTGATCCAGTTTCACCAAAATCACTGAATACTGTTGGTGCTTATCATCGTCATCATCATCGTATCTGTAACACATCGGCCTTTAGAAACCCTCATAGGAGTTAAAATTAATCAAAAATCAAATTAATATACACCCCGAGTGCAGGATGACTCATCAACTGATTTTATTGTTTTTCAGGAAACTCTAAAATATCATTAATACCTGAAAATACCTAAAACATGTTGTTGTTTTTTGTGATTGTTGGGTCAGTCAAAACATCAGTTTTTATTTGAAGTTTCACCTTTTTTAAAGTTATTTTTAAAGTAGGAATACTTTGAATCCTAAAACAATCAACTCATGAAACTTCTGCCAAACACAGCAAACATTAAGATATTTGAATATTTTATGTTACAATCACTTAAAGCTGCGATGCAAACAGTCCTGTTATCGGCCGCTTTTATTCTCAAGAGTTTGGGATTAAAAATGTATCGTGAATAAATTTGGTGAAATGAGGTCTTTAGGAGCTGGTACGAAGCAGTGAACACCACATTGTGGATTATCTGCTGCTGGTCTGGTTTGGCATTGAACTTGGCGTCGTCCTCCACTGTTTGACACTAAACTATCACATTTCCAAAACAGCGGCGACTCTCCGCGCGGCCGCTGAAATATTCAATGATGCTTGGGTTTCAGCTCTTCACCGGCCTGAATCCTGCGGCTCGTACTGCGGCGTCCCCCGGGGGGGCCCCAGTGCAGAGTTTGGACCTCGTCAGTATGAAGCGGGCCCCTGGGAGCCATTTATAACCCGACCCCGAGCTCGCAGTGCAGCACTCGTTCTCCTGCACTTCTCTGCCAAGTGTTAAAAGAGAGATTCTTAAAAATGGAGCCGCCATATGCACCGCACCCCCGGAGCTTTAAATGAGCTTTTCATCGAGGAGGGGGTCGACTTTTCTCCTCTTACAGCCCGAAGCACTCAGAGCCGGGTGGCGCTGACAGGTCGGCCATCTTGGGGGATTCTTCTGTGGCAGCGTTCAGTGACTGGATGTTCATGTTCAAGTTCAGATATTTAGTAAGAGAAAGGTTTATCACACTAGAAGTGTCGCTGTGTGCTGGTTTTACGATGTACTGATGGTGAAAACATCGCCGCCAATTTATCACCATCAGCCCGTTACTATCAGACAATCACAGACGTATATGTACGTATATATCCAACATGCTCCAATATGAAGGCTATTTATTCTTTATTTTCTCAGTGTTCATTTCTAGAATTGGTTGACAGCGTAGGCTATATGTTAAATTATTCTACATCTTAAAACAATATTGAACTTTTTTTATAAAGTTATTTGTTTACGAGAGCAGCCTCATATTGGTAGTCGGTGAATTTCTATTTCTAAATCGGTGTAAAAAGTCTTCAAGAGCAGTTTTTT